CCACCTCCAAAATTCGAAGGAACTTGGCTACAGAACGGACTAAATTGAACATAATTTAGAGGGACTAATCGATTAGAAAACGATCACAATATTGTGATATTAGGGGAGGAGGGGGGAAGATCGTTTTGTATCTTTTTTTGACTAGGTTTTATTATAACCAGTGAAATTGATAAGAATCTAAGAGTTGTTTTCTATATCTCATAGTGAAAGGGTTATCGAAGCAGTTTCAAATAATCTTACCTCCTTTTTCTTTTTACTTTCTGCTAAGAAAAAAACAGCAAATTACTCCATTTATAATGCCCACCCTAAACTTAGCTCAAAAGTTGATAGAACTTTCCCAATGTGGATTGATGGTAACATTATGTGCAAATGATTCATTTTTTTCTTGCTATATTATTACAAGGAGTCTTGAAGTATATGATTCATTACTTATAGTTCATTCATTATAAAAGTCATTCCATTTAAAAAGGTTCTATTCTTCTCCACATATTTCAGAATGCCAGTAATTAAAACAGTCATTCTGGAAAGAGTAATCTGATTACAATATGTGAATTTAACAGAATTAATTCAATATGGATTTTCAACAACTTTGAAATGATTCAAAAGCATTATAATTTGGTGGTAAATTGTTGATTTCGTAAAGGTGGGATTTTCCCAGTCAAGTAGTGGGCTGAAAATGGTATCTAATGCTTGAGACTTTATTAAATTATAGAAAGATAATTCATTAGAAGTTGAATGTACTTCAAGAATGTGGAGAAATTTTTCCATATTCCTCCGCAATGTTCTACCAAAAAAGGAAAAACGATTTTAGTAAAATCACATGTTATAAGAGCGCATAAAAAGTATGCTCAGTGAAGGAACTAAACCATTATATATAATTAAGAAAGTAGTAGGATATTTGTTATACTTACACCAACAAAATTCTTTTAGAAGAATCCCAATCTTTGCTTTATAAAGAGAGCATAAAGTGATTTTGGTATATCTATTTTTAGTGTCTTCGATTAGACAAAGCAGAAACAATGAAAATCATCGTCAACATGATTTAGTCATGTCTGGTTGTATAGTTTTAATTAAAATAAGAAAAGATGCCAATACAAGCATGCTTTTCTAAAATATAGTGATCAATATCTAAGTTAATTGAAGTCAAAAACGAATGCCGAGTGATAGACTTTTTTGCCGTAAGAAAATACGTTGTCCAGGGTGCACCACGTGGAGGTAAGTCTATCGCGCACTCCTTACAAGATGTTTATTCAGCCAATAATGTTGTATTGCTGTGAGCCACTTATTACAGCCACAGAGGTGACTCTCAAACCACTCGAGAAGGCACACAACCAAGCATTACGACTAATTACTGTAGGGATAAAATCAACACCCATTGATGCAATGCTCCTAGTTACAGGAAGCACCACAATAGGTTCCCATATCAAAGAAAAGGCCTTGATCCTGTACGAGAAGCTACTGCGCATTCCCATGGACAAGTTCTTCAACGCCTATGAGAATAGACCAAGACACCTGAAAACGCAATCTGGTCTAATACAGAAAGCCATAGGACTGAAGAAAGCATCACAAATCGATGACAAACCAAAAAGCCTCTCTCCCCCCATGAACCCATTAGCAGACATTGATGTAGTTGACACACTTGCTAAGAAGGGGACAACGATTTTGCAATGCATGGATCGGCCGATGTCTTACCACACGATGAAGGCCTTAATCAGGAGAGAATTCCAGACCTCAAGGTGCAACGAAATTAAAGCTTGAACAAAAGAGAAACAGTGAACAGTGGCAATCTCCGACATACACGACTGGCCAAGAATCGAAGCCGTTGCTGAGTTTAGACTACGTACCGGACACGATTGCTTGGCAAAACACCTTCACAGATTGGGATTATACACTCAACCCACATGCCCTCTATGTAACCTACTGGAGGAAATGGATAAGACCCACCTGATTCGGTGTCCAGCCCTAAAGTCAAGTACGGAAAGCCAAAGATACTGGGAAGCAAGAAGACAGCTAATGAATTGCTATTAATTAACTGCTATAAATGTACCCCACCCCTTCTTGGGGGAAGCTGAAGTCAAAGATTAAGGGCTAATGATAAATATCATAAAGCCTGCCATTTGAAATAAATAAATAAATAAATAAATATCTTAGTTAATTTGCTAATTTATCCTGGTTCATAATAGTATGTTTGCTTGGAACAGATACTAATTTAAAATTTTATAAAAATCAAAAGGAAATATCTAGATTTTTATATATACTTCGACATTTTCAAAAACAATTACTTGATTGCTCTCCAGTTTTCTAAAAGTAACCAAAATTGAAATCAAATTGATGGCTAATATGCTAGTTTAGTGGGAAGAACCTATTCACGTACATTTGTAATACTTTAATCAACGACTTCCTAGACTTCTAATAATTTCGACCAAACAATAAGAAGGTACTATTGGCACAGGAAGATAGCTCATATAAATAGGTACATGAACTCAAATAGACTTCTGCAAATGAAACATGTGGTAATCGATTTATGCTTTCAAGTCAATAATATGGAAACGTAATATGATATTTTTTCGGTAGTTAACTCGATGTTAAATCAGTATTTAAATAGATCACGGAAAAACCGCCTCTATTCCATCTCAGTTTTTAACTAGCAAACATAATTAGAATGCTAAATAAAAAATAGCCAATAAGATAGGGAAAATTACTCAAATAACAACTTTAGAACATGACCAGTAATATACATTACAGCCAAATCTTATGACCTGCTTAAGATTTTGCTTAATTTATTTTTCTGATCAGCTTTGCTATAAGCACTTTTTACCTGTCAAGACATTGAGCAATTGAAGCTTTAACATTCTGAGAAAACACTTAAATCACCTGTTTTTTGAAATTACAAATGAAAAATAATTTACATCAAAATATTATTTAAAATCGCTTAATTCAATAGTAATAATGGAAGAATAGAAATTTCAACTCATATTTTCTGCTTTTCCCGCTAATGAATACCAGCCTTGCATTTATGTGCTGACCTTATTTATTGAGCCTTATCGTTAAAGGCCTTTTTGGTAAATGCAGGCCTCTACTAGTGTATCATCATCGGTTTCGGGTCGTGATTCGCCACAAAATCCTTCTATTAATGAAGATGACCCTTTCTTTCGAAAAATTGTAACTATTCCATCTATAAGAAAAATTAAAGTGGTGGTAGTGGAAGATCATAGCATGGTAATTTAATATAATGCCTCATATTTGTTCAGGCGCTCCGCCATATTTATAGAGCCATAGGTAGCAAAAAGCTCCCTTCAAAGGGGGTCAAATTGCTTCACTTTGATGCTCATCCAGATTTATGCATCCCAAATATTTCTCCGTCTGTAATAATTGACGAGCCCTATGGAATGTTAAAGTCAGCCTCCATTACTCGTTGATTTTTGTAGGGAGCTCTCCATAGAGAATTGGATTTTTCCAGCTGTCTTTTCAAAGTTTGTTGATCATGTTTTGTGGCTCCATCCACCTTGGTCGAAACAAATGACAAATCGACGTACAACAGACTACGTTATCGGTCGTCGCAAAACGACAGGTGAATTAGCGTAAGGTTTATTTGTTTGATTCACAATATTACGTCTTATGTTTTTAGTGTAAATGTTCCAGAACCCTACTTTTATAATGAGGGAATTTATGCTCATCGGTGTGATATGGAATCAGAGGTCCCTTTTTCCTTTACTGTCTGCACTATCCACGGAGCGAGCACTTTGTGTAATGCCTGTTCAGATGTTACAATGAGTCTCCTTAACGAGCCTTTTGTTTTGGATGTCGACCTTGATGCCTTTTCTACGATGGATCCCTTCCGATCGTTCTACTCTCTCGATCAAGTAACGTACTATTTTTTCGGGGGTTCTATTGTTGATATTTTTATAACCATTTTACTGTTTTCTAAAAAAACTATGGGTTCGATTCTCATTGCAGGTACCAATGGTAATGGACTCTGTGCCTGTAGCGTAGCCATCAACTTGAAGATTTTTTGAGCTTTTTGTATTCATCCATTCAATTTTAACATTTCAGTCTATTATGTACTTTTTAAGTGGTAGCCAGTGCCATTTTTGCCCTTGATACATTTCTGTTCTTGTAATTTAAAAGGTGAGGACAAACTCCTAAGGTTCAATTTGTTAATAAAGAGGGTTTCGATCACGATTAGTGGTCGATACTATTTCGTCCTGATAATGTTTGAATCGAGGATGAATACTTTCTCGATAGCCTTATTTTGCAACGGAGCAGCATTTGGCATTTATCTTTGTATGATTAATAACATGGGGCTAAATGTAAATATCTCTAACCCGCCCATTTGATATGAATTAATAATTAACAACTTTACATGCCCCCCCCCCCCTCTTTAATTCTCTATCGAATAATAATGGTGTGTTTTATGTGAGCCTTTGCATGTTAGATCTTTAGGGTCTGTGAAGGTCATTGTTGCTTGATTTTGCAGTTTACATTGAATCGTATAAAGTTAGTTAGGAAATTTTCATGTCAGTGTTCTTGGAGGAAATTGGATTTGTATACATCGGAAGATGGTTTACTAATTGTTATATCTTTGCCTGAAAATATGTTCAGAGTTGAACTTGATGTCTTTATCCAACCTCAAATGTTTGGTTTTACTTATAGCAAAATAAGTAGAAATAATTTATATTTATTTACTCGATAGTTCGCCTTGATTGATAAGCTGTTCACTGCTCCTCGTCCCCCGCCACTACGTCTTCCAGATAGAGGTCCTCGAGCCCCACCCCTTGGTACCACCTGTTCCACTTTCGAAGTATTTGAAAGTGCTAGTCTCGCTGCCAAGGTGGTAAGTGATCTACATAGACAACGGCTCTCTGCCATTCTACAATGTATGGAGAGCCTAACCATTAGTGGGACGGTGGAGTTGTCGACAGCCCCATCACTAGACAAATTGGATGCATATGATATTGGAGCTCTTACATCGCTACTACTTTCGCTACCGATTGAAACATTCTCTCCTTCCACTTATTTCAATATTCAAACTGCTCATGCTTTCGCTATTTCGGCAATTCAGCAAACCAGCTGTAAGCAATTTGTAATAAGACTGATTTCACAAGAAATGTGTGATTTTCAAAATGTGTAATTAATTTATTTGGAATTGCCAGTAGCAAAATCATCGGAGGATCAATTGCAAGTATCATCAGGGAATGATTCTCCTCATGGAGGCAACAGTCCGGAGCCTCCAAAGGTAAAACAACAGAAAGTGGATGTATCTCGGGATTGTTTAAAATGGGCATCCGATTCTCGTTCCGAGACAGTTGAAAATGATCTCGATTTGATGAAACACTTCCATGATGTGTGGAAAAGTCTTGCGGATAGAGAAAATTACCCTCTTCCTCATCATGTAAATTTAGAAAGTAACATGAATTCGAGTATCTATCTGGAAAATAACGCTGTTTATAATTTCCTTCTAGGTGTCAACAGCGGAGGAGCAGTCAGAATTAATCGGGGGATTAGAGAGTCTTCTAAACCGAATGCACAATCCATTGCTTATTACGGTAGCGCGTTCCTCATTAGATGGATATACTCCAACTGACCAAGTTTCAAGTATACAAATGCAGTTCTTTGAAGCTTTGCATCGCATATATGGTGTTGAACTACTTACGGTAGCACTTGACTATGAAGGGTATATAACATTGATTTCTGTATAATTACCATCCATTCCACCATTGAATAACTACCAATTTTAGGGCAGCTAAAGATGCGCAGGCTCTCAAGTCAATGGGTTTCGAAATTTCGGAGATTCGAGGAGAAATATCCCGATTTAGTTCTTTCAGTGTTAATCCTGGATCTCTTCTTCTGAGTCGATGTGAAGCATCGGGCGATTACCGATCCGAATCGGATACGCGTGATATATCTTAAAATTGGACAATCGCTTTTTGAAGATATTGCTTTATTGATCATGATCCAGAGCTATTTTTCTGTAAACTTTTGTTTATTAGTTTAGAGCAGTTGGGGACCGGGTGTGTTTCGGTTTAATTAAGCAATTCCTTGATTGAACCGAAAAAGTAAATTCTACCTAAAAGCGTCTGAGCGAGGTTTGGGTGTGTTAATTAATTTTATTCGTTAAATATTTTAAAAATTTCTGACAAATATCATTAAACAAAGGGCACATTTGAATATCATTTGTTTAAATTTCTTGATTTAATTAATACGACTTTGAGCGCACGGTTCGAGCATTCATTCGCCTTGGGGTATTGCGTATTTCTTTTCCAAAGGCGATCATGGAAATCAATTCTGTAAAATCTGTCAGA